CTCCTCCGCTGTTTTTGAACAAGAGTAAATGTTTATCTCTTGTTTCCTGTTTAGGATTGTGTTTCCGGTTCCTTCTAAGGTCTACTTCCACACTATACTTCTAACGTCTAATGATTAAGTGTAGATGTTTATCCCTTGTTTCCTGTTTAGGATTGGGTTTCCGGTTCCTTCTAAGGTCTACTTCCGCACTATACTTCTAACGTCTAATGATTACGTGTAGAGGTCTATCTCTTGTTTCCTGTTTAGGATTGGATTTCCGGTTCCTTCTAAAGTCTACTTCCGCACTATACTTCTAACGTCTAATGATTAAGTGTAGATGTTTATCCCTTGTTTCCTGTTTAGGATTGGGTTTCCGGTTCCTTCTAAGGTCTACTTCCGCACTATACTTCTAACGTCTAATGATTAAGTGTAGATGTTTATCCCTTGTTTCCTGTTTAGGATTGGATTTCCGGTTCCTTCTAAAGTCTACTTCCGCACTATACTTCTAACGTCTAATGATTAAGTGTAGATGTTTATCCCTTGTTTGCTGTTTAGTCTATTGGGTTTCGGTTCCTTCCTGTTTAAGGTCTACTTCAAAGGTCTACTATGCACTTCTAACGTCTAATGATTAAGTGTAGATGTTTATCCCTTGTTTCCTGTTTAGGATTGGGTTTCCGGTTCCTTCTAAGGTCTACTTCCGCACTATACTTCTAATAGCCCCGCTTGAACTGTGAAATGTTATTACTATTTTCTGTGTCGTGCCAAAAGAGTCCGTCTTACACATCTACAAATCTACCATTTGTTCATGCATTGAGTACTGTTGCCATATCTGGTCTGGTGCCCCTGCTGAAGGATCTGCAATGTAAATGTTCCTGACCTGGCATCTCGACTTCAGTCACTCTCTCACAGACGTGACGTGGCTTCCCTCTGTCTTTTCTACGAATATTTCCACGGCAACTGTTCTGATGAACTATCTTCCCTGATGCCCCGACTACATGAATTTAAGTGTGCTACTAGATGGGAATCTAGGTCCCACCCTCCAGCCGTTGCTTTTCTTGCACTTCCCGACAATGGAACTCCCTTCCTCTTTCTTGCTTCCCTGATAACTACAATCTTCAAACATTTAAATGCAACGTCAATCGCCATCTTCTTTTGCTTTGATCCCTGTTCTTCTTTTAACTTTTCCTCAATCCCCCTCTATACACAGTCATTGCTCGGCGTATTAGTGGCACTCCCGCCTTGCTTGGGGTGAATTGCTTAAAAAAGATACAAAATCTTGACCTCTTCAAGTCGAGTTAGCCATTCTCTTTCCTGTTTAGCAAAACGAACCTCACTTCTTGCTATTTCTTACGGTCATACAACACCACATAGTAACCCTCTACTTTAAGCGGCTCTTGGGCTTTGTAATGGGCGAACATTAATAATTAAAAAAACGTTAATGTAAAGAACATGACTGGAATTCAAACCCGGCTCTCCGATTTCACATTCTGAGCCGTTATCCATTGCACCAAACCACCCATCCGACTGGGATTGTAATGATCGGGAAAGCATCCTCTCGGGAGTCTGTTCTATAAAGTAGCGGTTCTCGAGGAGAATCTGTCTAACTGGAATTTCTTTTTTTTACCAATGGAATACGAAGCTATATACTGTTCTATGTAGCATGGAAGAGGTTATTTATACAAAATGTACTGCTAGATTTTAAAAGCATGTACAAACCTTACAGAGGATATATATTTATATAGCGGACAGTATGTGTGGTGGATAGGCCGTGAAAGTATCAACTACTATATGCCTATACTCGATACACAAATTTAATGTATATTTCAGTGTGTACTGTCTTGAATAAAATTAAGTCTCTCAATTAACACGTGAATCAATTAAACACGTCTCCAAAGAATTGTTTTGAATCACGCTAATCCAAAACCTGACTCGCTATGTGTGCCTCTGCCTCTATTGTTTATCTTTCCCCCTCCCAATTTATAATATGTGTGTCTCTCTCTCTCTCTCTCTCTCTCTCTATATATATATATATATATATATATATATATATATATATATATATATATATATACAGAAATAGATAGATAGATATAGACAGACCGGAATCGATAGAGTGATAGATATTTTCCAATATGTATCTCTTTTCGCTCTCTCACTCCCGTTCTCTCTATACCTTTCTCTTTCTCCTTCCCTTTCCAGTTCTCTCTTTCTGTCTCTTTCTATATATCTCTCTCTGTTTACCTCTCGAGTTTTCTCCTTTCCTCCATTACTCTCTCTCTCTCTCTCTCTCTCTCTCTCTCATATAACTCTCTTTTTCTCTTTCAACAGATCTCTTTCTTTCCTTCTCTATTCTTCTGTCTATCCAGAGTTTGCGATGGATAAAATGACGTCTAAATTACGCAAAAATGAAAATAGCACTGACATCACATTTTAAAAGATACACTTACCAATATTACACAAAAAATATCTTTAAATATTATATTATTGTAAATTTATTCAATAGAATCGCCATTGGCTTCAGTCACGGCCTCTAGACAATTTCGGAATCTCCTGCAACTCTTCTGAACGGTCTTCTTGTTTAAGCTGGCGAATGCTGCCATAATCCTTGCCTCCAGTTCATCTTTGGTGTTATAAGGAGTTTTGTTGGTTTCTTGATTAAATGCGCCACACTCATTATAATCAAGGGGGCTACAGTCCGGGGAGTTAGGTGGACAGATTTAAGGAGTGATGTGGTCGCAGAAATTGTCTGACAGCCATGACTGGGTTCTCCTGTTTGTGTGGCATGGTGCAGAGTCCTGTTGCTAGACACAGGGTCTTCCAGCAGCCACTCTCTTGACCCAGAGGAACACTAACTCTTCAAGGTACTTGATGTAGGCCTCCGTATTGAGTCTGAGACCCTGTAGGAAGATGTATTGAGATATAATGTCGCCATCCCCCCCACCAAACACCTTCGAAATCACCATTAGACTCATCCAACTCTTTCCCAGTCCTTTGCACTGTCCTCAAAAAGCCTCTGAGATGTTCTTATTCGAGCTTCCGGCGCGAATGCCAGGCAGTACAACATGCCAGTTCCAAATTTCTAGCGGAATGAATTGCCACATGGTGTTCTTTTTCTCACAGATGGTGCCCAACTGACTCTACTATACTGTGAAGACGACAAAATCAAAAACAAACAACGTACACACGCAAAATTAAAAATATAAAATGGCGACACATTACCCATCGCACCCTGTATATGCCTCTTTCATCGTCTTTATATTTACCTTTCTCTCACTGTCTTTCTCCTCTTCTTTCAGCCTCTATGCATAGATAGATAGATAGATAGATAGATAGATAGATAGATAGATAGATAGATAGATAGATAGATAGATAGATATGAATAACCTGTTGTAGATAGATAGATAGATAGATAGATAGATAGATAGATAGATAGATAGATAGATATGAATAATCTGTTGTAGATAGATAGATAGATAGATAGATAGATAGATAGATAGATAGATAGATAACGAAGAGATCTGGATAGATAGATAGATAGATAGATAGATAGATATGAATAATCTGTTGTAGATAGATAGATAGATAGATAGATAGATAGATAGATAGATAGATAGATAACGAAGAGACATAGATAGATAGATAGATAGATAGATAGATAGATAGATAGCGAAGAGATCTGGATAGATAGATAGATAGATAGATAGATAGATAGATAGATAGATAGATAGCGAAGAGATCTGGATAGATAGATAGATAGATAGATAGATAGATAGATAGATAGATAGATAGATACTTCTAAGCTAAGGTACTTTATATTTCGTAATTTTATATTATTTATATACGCATGTATATACTTACACGTAAGTAACTTATACGTATGTATTTATCATACTCTTTTTGTCTATATGTCTCTTTTTCTTCTTTCCGCTTACTTCTTTATATGTAGGCGTGTGTATTTTTATGCCCCACCCTTTTCTGTATCTCTCTCTCCACGTATACCTTTCTTTGTATCAATCTCACTGTATGTATCATTCTTTCTTTCTTCCCCACCCCTACCGGCGGCGCACACAGAACAAGTATTTTTTTGTTTTGTTTAGATTTTCTTGAAGCTTCAAAGATCTTAATAGATCTGCTCAGCTAATATTCTGTCTTCTTGTATTGAAAATTGTTCTCAACGTAATTACCTGGCAACAATTGATGTTTTTATTAATCTCAACATTTTCTAACACACTTCGTTTTACCGATTGTTTCTTACACGAACTGTATTTTGAAATAGGCAAGATTTTTTTTCTTTTTTCTTTTTTTTTTTTTTTGGCTCATAAATTATTGTTTTCATGCAAAAGTTATTGTTTAAGCCAAGTCGTTGATGATTAAAATTTAGGCAAGTTTTACGAATAAAAATTGTAAGCTTTCCATTAATATTTACTAGCAAGAATACCCGACGTTGCTCTGGCCAACTATATTTCCCTCACAGGGTTACGCAATAGTTGTTTTTTGTTTGTTTTTTTTTTTACGTATTATACCATTAGGTGATATTAACAAAATTAATTAATCTTAATTAAAATAATTCGATAGGTTTATTTTTGTCGTTATTGATTTAATACTGTTTGAAGACAGACAGACAGATAGATAGATAGATAGATAGATAGATAGATAGATAGATAGATAGATACTTCTAAGCTAAGTTCTGACATCACATTTTAAAAGATATATTATGACAAGCTAAGGTACTTTGTATAACTTCCCCTTATATACTTACACTTTTATTTTAAAAAATATACTATTTAAATTGCCATCATTTCTTCTTCTTCGTCCTGTGTCCATTCAGGACGTGTACGATCATGACACTCCACAACCTCCTATTCCGTACAGCTTTTGGTAATTTTGCCATACCTCCCATCAAACCATTCTATTATTCCTCCACTCGTCAGGAAAGCGACCCACTTCCCCCTCCCGTCACTTTTGCCTTCGATATGTCCGGTAAGTTAAAGTTATCCTTTCTCATCATATGTCAAATTCAG